GCCTGAAATGCACATTAGAGAAGCACTGACACAGAACCTCAGGCCTCTCATTACTCGAGCTTATCAAACCCTGGAGAGCACTCCAGTTTTCTGGAATGTGAGCCCCAACTGGATGACTGAGAGCAATTCTTACTGCAGTCCACTGTCCAATTACAAAAAGGAGGGCATAATACCTGCTGTTTCTCCCTCACAGGATTATTGTGAGTTTCAGACAAGCTCACAGATCAGTTCACTAGCCATTGACTGTGATGGGCCAATAGAGGCTGCTGAGGTAGCGGGGAGCGGAACAGGAAGACGATGTCTGGGGACTGGGAAACATGTTGTACATGCTGATTGGTGTTGTGTGCCTATCATGGTTATCATAGAGCCTTCACTTCCCCTTTATGCATTAATTCACTCTGTGGCCTGTCATTCATTAAAACCTAACGTACTTGCTCGGTGTTAAGAATTGCATTGTGAGCTGGATACTGCAGAGGCAGAAGTAAAGCAGCCATCATCTTGTCCTCAAGGCGCTTTCAGTTTACCAAGAGATGGAGATGACAACAGACAGTTCCAGTGAGAATACAGTGTGGCTGGCACTTAGATGGCAGTGCAGGTTCTGCGGGAGCAGAGATGAGACACTAAGGAGCCTGGCTGTAAAGGACACCATAAGTTCACGGTCTGAGAAGGGGCAGAAGAGCACGCCAGGCCGAAGGAACAGCAGCAGAAAGGCAGGGAGGCACGAAGACACGGCGTGCTGTGCCAGGACGGGAAGGTAGGCAGAGCTTAGGGAAGAGCTTAGAGATCACTTGAGAGAAGTAGCTTAGGGCCAGATCTTGTTTGATGCTAAGGAATCTGGTCTTTATCGGGTAGGAAATGGGGAGTCCCTGAAGGAGAGAATTAACACAGTCATAGCTCTGCTCCACAAAGATCTTTTACCAACAGCATGCAGAAGATTTTGAAAAGGCTCTGACACTTGCCAGATGACAAAGTCCTCAACTGCAGTGGTAGATGTGGGGACAGAAATTGATATGGGACCCTCAGCAAGGTAGAACTGCCATCCCTAAGTGACTGCATGATGGGGGTAGAGAAGGAGAGGCTGCTGGCTCGGTGCCTGGGTGGATGGTGTGGGGGCCAAGCAGGATGGGAACACAGGAGGACGACTGGGAGAAGAGCCTGAGTCTGGGCCTGATGGGTTTGGAGCACCTTGGGGAAATCCTTTGGCTTTGTCCAATAGGTAGGAGTCACAGACAGCAGGAGCTGAGAAGAGCAGTCAGGTTGGACATAAGAACTTGAGAGATGGGGAGTAGCTGGAGGCACTGGGATGAATGAGGTTGTGGGAAATTGTGGGGTGGGAGGAAAATAAGATTAGAAATGGCACCAGCATAGAAGGGCTCAGTAGAAAGGTAAGTCCATGAAGAAAACTGATGACTGAGAGCAATTCCTACTGCAGTCCACTGTCCAATTACATAAAGGAGAGCATAATACCTGCTGCTTCTCCCTCACAGGATTATTGTGAGTTTTAGACAAGCTCACAGATCAGTTCACTAGCCATTGACTGTGATGGGCCAATAGAGGCCGGTGAGGTAGCAGGGAGCGGAACAGGAAGACGATGTCTGGGGACTGGGAAACATGTTGTACAAGTGAAGAGGCATTTCTGTTTGCCTGGGCTCCTCTGGCCATGTGAACAAACGTCCAGCAGGCGTGTCTAGGGACAGCCTTGGGGGCACCACTCCGTTAGCCCCAGAGGGAGGGGTGGCTAGAGCCGGGGAAAGGCGTAAGGTTTGTCTCCTCCCTCCCTTGTTCCTCTTGGGGCCAGGTAATGTCCAGCTCTTAGGCAAAATGATATAAGAGACAAATGCTTGAGTTTGTTTAGTTTTTCGGATCAGACAAGGACCTAGCTCCTCCTCATGCCAAGAAATCCTTCCAGACTGTGTCCTGGGTTGACTCCAATGAGCTCATTCTTTCATTATCATTAAGGCAAAGCAAGTCAAGTCCTATTGTAATTAACCAAGAAGATTTTACCAAACAAAAGAAAAAGGAGGAAATGGCTCCAGCACTGCATTAAATCACGTTAGCCATACAAGCAGGACTGTCCTGTGGCTTTCAACTGATAATGGCTCTTAGCACCCAAATAATTGATCTATCTGCTGTTCTGGCCTAAGGGGAGATTGAACTGGCCCCGCTAGCAGTGTTGGCAGCCTGACCAGTCTATTAGTAAGACTGAAAAATCAAAACATTGACTGGAAAAGGCCATTATGCCTGGGCTCAAGAGGAGTCATCAATAGATGATGTCACTTCAGAAATAACAAGCCAAGGTCATGAGGCCCCTGGGCAGGGTCAAACACCCTTCGTGGACCAATACTGCCCTCCTTCATATACACCAAAGTCTGCCTGGGGACACAGAGACCCAAGCCAGAACTTGTTTCATTTTATCTTCTTGCTCAGCTTGGTTCTAAGAGATGAAGGCCACCTGCAGAGCTTGTGACATTCGGCAGGTCACTAAGGAAGGCAATCATCCTGCCACAGGCACACCCCTTAAATTGTCTTCTAATGTTCTTGGCCTCTACTGGGTTCTTGTCTACCTTTTACCGCACTCCTCGTCCCCAAAGCACCTGCCTCCCCTCTGGGCCCTGTCCCCAGCTGCTCTCTTCCCTCTCTTTCTTTCTTATCTAAGTTTTTGGAAAGAGCTGAGGGCCATTTCAGCTCCCAAGAGCTCCCGCGTCTGCCCCTGCCCCTCACCAACACTAATAATACTGTCCCAAGGTACTGAGCTCTGAGCTGAGGGCTCTCCCAGCATCATCTCACTTAATTCCCACAGACGCCCATAGCAGTGGGTGCTATTGTTAGCCCCACTGTACAAAGGAGGAAACTTAGAGAGGCTGGGTCACTAGCAGAACCTCCTTCTAAATCCTCTGCCATGCCTGACCAAAGTCAGTCATACCCCCTGCCAGTGCTGATGGCCCTTTCCCAGTTCTTGCCACCCTCTTTTCTGCAGCAACCGTCACTGCCCACCTCTTTCCATCTTGGTTCCTGGGAAGCCACTTTCTCCCACTCTTTCCCCACCCTCTCTTCCCGGGCGGATGCCCTACGTTACATCCCCGGCATGTTCTTTTTTTCATGCCAGCAGGTATAACAAGGGAGCCTCTGATTCCAGCTCCACTAGAGATCATCTTGCCCATCCCCTCCTTCCTCAAGGTCACTCTGGGTGGGCAGCAGAGCTGGAGCCGGAGCCAGGGTCCCAGCAACCAGGCCAGCTCCAGTACCTTCCATTACTCAGAGATGCCACTACCCACTCCATTTTCTGCTTTTGTTGAGCTGCGGGAAATCACCCTGCCCAGGAGTAGAGAGAAGGTGTGAGACTCTGATAAGGTGGGGCGGAGGCTATTTTTAGAGGACACTGGCTTTCCACTTAGATGGGGGAGGAACCCAAGGGCCAGGGACTAAACCAGGGGTTTGTGAGACCAGCTCGCAAGAGAGAACACACCAAAGTGACAGGGTTCCTTGTTTTCACTCTGCCTGTCTGTTGTGTGGCTTGAATTAGGGAAATCTATTTGACATCATTTCCCCTTAGTTCTTTCATGTGTGAGGCTTTGAGACGGCTTTAGAGAAAACACATAAAAGGAGTAGAAACAAATGAAACTAGGATGAAGGTGCTATTGCAAAGGAAAGTCCTGGACAGCAGCAGACCACCAAACGGGGCCTTGGTGGGTTGCTCAGAGTGCCCCCAAAACCTGCCTTACTGAGGGGAGGGGCAGAGAAGAATGGGAAAAGTGTGGAGACCGCAGACCTAATGTCCAGCTAGTGACCTTGAGCCGGGGGCTCTGAGGTCTTCATGGACAACAAGAAGGCGCTCACGTGGGCAGATAGAGGGCATCCTCTGGGCGCTCAGGGCCCAGCATCTGGATTCAGTCTGGCTCTTCCATTCGGACATGAAGAACTTGGGCCCGGTGGCCTTCAAGAGTCTCAGAGGGAGGGTGAGCTCGAGCACTGAGTGAGAGTCAGTAATGGCAGTGATATGTGGGGAAGAGCCATCCAGGAGGGGAAGCTGAGCCTCCGAAGTGCTGGACTGGAACCCTTGGTCCTGGCTGTTTATAGGAGCCCAAGCCCTATGGGTCACTTGCTGTTTTGCTAAAGCAGCGCTGACCCAGCAACGATGCCCCTGAGCACCTCGGGGACGCACTTTCTGAGAGTGCACCACCTGTGCTATTCCAAGGGCCTTAGTGGGTCCCAGGATGCGATCCAAGGTGGGGAAGCCAGGGCAGTCTCAGATTTCTGAGGCCGCTCCTCGGCTGCGCACTGCGAGTCCCGCCGGAGCCGGTGAGCAGCGCGCGCCCCGCTGCTCCCACAGCCCGGGTCCCTAGCTCCTTCCTAGGAGGCCAGCCTAGTCCTACAAATGGGGAAACCGAGGTCCAGAGAAGGGGGGGGCGTTTTCCAAGGCCATCCCCAGAGTTGACTACAGCGAGGCGACTCCTGCCTCCAGGCTCTCTGATTCGCTCCACCCGGCTGCATCCGCGCGTGCACTGGTGCTTTAAACCCCGTCCTCTCCCGCAGTTGGGAAACTTTCCTTGTCCCCGGCCTGCGCGGCGCGAACCCGGCTCCGTGTCCCGCCAGCACCGACGCCCCCTCTCCCGCCCCCTGCCTTCGAAGGGCGGAGGAGGCCGCCCCCGCGTGCCCGGCGCGGGTGGCACCTGTACCCAGCCGAGCGCCAGCGGCCCCCCTGCGTTGACAGCGTTGCCTCGAAGGTCCAAGAGGGAGGGCGCCCCGGCCGGGGCCACGGGCGCGGGGCGGCGGGAACGCGAGCGCCCCGGAGCAGAGCGCGGGGCTCGGACCTCCGACACTCGGGCTCCCCAGCCGGAGGCAACCCGAGGCGGCGGCTATTTATAGAGGGAGCCACGCTCAGTCCCTCTTGGCGGCGGCGGCGACAGCTGAATATTTTGCCCAGATATGGCTGGGGCCCAAGGGCGGGGGCAGGGAGCCCCGCGAGCCCGAGGGGGACCCCAGGAGGGTGAAGAGCTTACCCGGGCGCAGAGCGGGGGCCGGCGCGGTTGGCGGCAGGGACAGCGCGGGCGACGGGCGAGCGAGCGGAGCGGGGCTGGACGAGCTCCC